ACTTAACCATTGACTCTTGCCTCAGTAGTATATTGTGAAAATAGAGATTGTGAGGAATAGTGAATGTTTCTTTAATGATAATTTCATTTTTGATGATGTTTGGATAGTTGGGAAAGATGCATACCCTTGTGGACCACTGATTAGAGTAGGGAGGGTTGAGTAATGGGAAAAGTACATGAGACAACTGCCTCCAATGCTTTTTTTTTTTCTTGTTTCTGGGGAAAGTGGGGAAAAAGGCGAGAGGGCTGCTCCCAGCACCCCAACCACGTCAGCACCCTGGAATGGTGGACGACTACCTGATGTCATCCCAGGGTCCCCAATGTGAAACATTTTGCAAGGGCACTGCTTAAGTGGTTTTGATAGTTCTACATGCTATTGATTTTGTTACTCCAAGGATGAAGAGATCCTTCAAGGTCCATTGGCTGACAAAGTCCAACTTAGGGTCTTGATTCATCCGGACACATGCTGTCAAAACTTTACCAGGAGAGCTGTTTAGTTTGTTCTGCCCTCCTTGGAACTAGTTGTATACAGTCCTCAATGAACTAAATGCTGTGTGCGTGAACATCCGGGCATGCCATCCACTGCATAAGCCTCAGCAACCAAAGAGACCCAGATGGGCTACATGCACTCAAAGGTCAGACCACAGATCCTGTGATTTTCCCCATGGTTAGTTCTAAGTTCAGGGGCACAGTTGGGGAGATCCCAAAACAGAAACCTCACCAGAGGTGACCCCAGAACTGACTCCCTTGTGTGCCAGACGGTACAGGGTCCAGCTCAGTCTATCACCCACATCAGCCTACAAACATACTGGTAGTCGCAGTTGTTGGGTCAATTCTTTTTCCAGCCCCATTTTATGCACAAACCGACAGATGCTGCAGCCCAGTCCAACCCAGCCTACTATGCACTCAGCTCTCATGCACACCAGCAGGAACTGAAGCCTAGTCAGAGTGACTCCCAAAAACCCCACCAGGCCTTCCCCCAGCCCTGGTTCTTGTGCATGCCAGTATATGTAGCAACCTGGTCCAGTCTGACCCACATCACATTCAGCTCTTGCACACATTAACGGATGTTGAAACCTAGCTCAGTCCAACTGATCCCGCTATCCAATGTTCATGCCAGGTGGTGTCACCGCCTGTCCAGCCAAGTCCACCTCCAGCCCTCATTCTCATGCTCACTGGTGGGAGTTGCAGGCCATGAGAAGTGTGTCCACAGTTTCCCTACTAGGCCCCCTACTCTTGTTTATGCCTGCACCAGTGGATATGGTTGCTTAGCACAGCCTGCCTCTCCACCACCCCAGCTCACATGCAGGCCAATGAGCTTTGTAGCCCTGCCAATCTGTTTGCCCCTGTCCCACTTCTCTGGAGCACCAATGGGAACAGTGGCCCAGCAAGGGAGTCCCTGAATCCCTTGTGCCAGGTTCACTGCTTTTCCCAAGGTGTTCTTTGTGCTGCTGGGTACTGGGGCCCAGTGTTGCATGGCTTGCCTCACCTTGGCATTCACTGGTGCATAGTGCAAGCTGGCTCGGCCTGGTCCATCCCTAGTTGCAGCTCATGCTAGTGGGTGCTGCACTGCCAGCTGGTCTGGCCTGCCAACCCTAGTCCTACCCTAATGTTAATTGTTGGGTGTTGTGGCCCAACCCTGGCCTGTCCTGCACCCTGTCCTGGTTCTCACATCTGCTATTTGGTACTATGAACTGGCCTAGCCTGGCCCACCCCCAGACCTGAGTCATACATATGCCAGCAGGTACTATAATCTAGCTTGGCCTGGGTTACTCCTAGCCTTGGTTCTTGCGCTCACCTGCAGGGACTGCATTCTGACAGAGGAGTTCTCCAGTTTCTTCTATCAGGTTGCCTCCCTGTGGCAGACCTTGTAAACACTGGTGGCTTGTAAACACAGAAGATGCCTAGGCCCATCTTCTGTCCTGGCAGGTACAACAGCCTTGCTTGACTAGCCCAGACCAGTTCTGGCTCTTACTGTTGGGTACTACAGCCCAGTCCTGCTTGGCTCACTCCCAGACCCAGCTTGTGTGGTTTAGCTGGCCCAGAGATCTAGCTCAGCATGTTCTGCACCCACTCTGGCTCCTATGAGCACCATTGGGTGCTGGAGCCTAACTCATTATGGCACACCCCAGACCCAGTGCATGCTCAAGCCAAGGAAAACTGCAGCTATGACCTGCTTAGTTTGTTGCCCCTGTTTCAGATCTTATGCTCAGCAGTAGGAACTGCAGCAAACCAGCAAGGGCATCCCCTTAGCTCACAGACCAGGCTTGCTCTCAGCTACAGATACTGTGTGTGTCATTGGTTCCTCTGATCAGGCCAGCATAATCCATCCCCCTTCTTGGCCTTTGCTGTCAGATGCTGCAGCCTGGTTTGGCCTGGCCCTCCCCCAGTCCTAACTCTTGCTGGCCCAGCCTTTCCCCATCCCTGGCTTTCATGCAAATCAGTAGTTGGATAACCTAGCCTAACCTAGTCCACATCCCATTCTGGCTGCTGTGTATGCCAGTGTGCTATAGTTTGGCCTGGCATGGCTCAGTCCACCCTCTACAGAGCCAATCTACACACCTGCTGACAAATGGAGCAACCTTGCCCAGCCTAGCCTACACCCAACTTTGACTCAAGTGCTCTCCAGAGGGAGTTACAGCCCACAAGGGAAGTTCCCCAAGTTCCCCCACAAGTCCCACTCCCAGATCAGATCTTACATGTGCCAGTGGGTCTATGCCCTTATCTTGCACAATCTGCTCTCCGCCCCCCCCAGTCTTGGCCTTTGGATGTGCTGGTGGATGTTGTGGCCTGGCCTGCCCCACATCCAATACTTGGGTACGCCCGTGGGTGCTATAGCCTGAACCAGCCCAGCCTGTTCCCAAAGCCAGTATGCATGAATGTTGATGAGTTCCATGATCATGTCTAGTTTGACCTGGAACCACCCCAGCCATTAAGCAAACCAGCTGTATGGCAGTCCCACAGTTTCAATTGTACATTGATCCTCTACAGAATCTGCTTCCAGACTCAGTTTTCTCACATGCTAGTTAGTGTCATGGCCCAGCCTAACCTGGCCCACCTGCTGCCCCAACACTCACCAGCAGATGCTGTGGTCGAGACTTGACAGGCCCCCCCAACCATGGCATTCATGTGTGCCGGTAAATGGTGGTTATACCAGCAAGCCCAGCTCAGGTCTCCCACGTGAATGGATGTGTTGGTTTGGCATGAAAATGACCTCTACTTTCCCTCCTCTAAATCAGTCTCAGTTCCCTTGTTTACCTCTCCCTCAGCAGTCCTCCCTGCCACACATCTCTAGATCTGCTTCCCTGAGTCATGCACAGCTTCCCATGCCTGTGAGCATGTAAACCTCCAAGCTCAGTCCTCTAGCAGTATATTTATGCTGCCTTGGGATCCTGCCCTCCTACCTGGGGCCTATGCATGCTTGTATGTATGTACCCAGACCCTGTCTGCTGGTGTTCCGGAGCCTGCCCCTGACATATCTTTTTTAAAAAAAAAGGAATAGAATAGGCAACTTTGCTGGCACACTGGTTTAGTTAACACAAATCTGGCCTTAGTGTAATCCATCAAATCTCCCATCAGTGTAATGCTTGCCTAGGTAAAATGCAACCTAGACACTTGCCTACTGCTGGGGGGAATAGTGAATGTTACAGAAGGTATATCTAACTTCTTATAAGGAGAAAAAAAATCCACCCTCTGTAAGCTGTGTGCAGTATTCCAATGACCCTTGTTTCTTCTTTAACTTCTCTCTTTTGTTTTCTCTTTTTATGTCCTGAATGGGAAGAGGAGTCAGTTGTCTGACAAATTTAGATTTTGCAAAGTTGTGCAGTGATAAGAGTGCTATTGAAATACATTGTTAAGAAAGATTTTCAACACTCAGATGTGTCATTTCCTTTCTTCATGGGCCAGACGTTGAAATACTAGGAGATAAATATTTTGGGTTTCAATTTTAAAGAGAGGGAAGTGGATAAATCACTGCTGCATTCTCCGAGAAGTCACGGTAAAAGACTTACTTTAACATTTTTTTCCAGAATTGTTCCTATTGATTTTAAGTATGTACTCTGTGTTTGTTTGTGGTACAGGATATAGTACAACTAATATTATTACTAATAACTTACTAATATTTTGGTTTGGTTGTTTTCAATAAAAAATAGGAATTCTATTAAAGTTTATGTGAGTGAAAATGTATGTGTATGTATACATGCATATGAAACATATTAGATGTTTTTTGTTTGAAAAAGGTACAGTTTTGTCTTGTAATTATGCATCTTTTTGAAAAATACTGACTTTTTCAAATATGTTTTAACACATTTTAGTTATTCTCCTTTCCTTCCTCAGTTTTTGAATAACAGTTATTTGTTTAAAACAAATGTGTTTTATTTTCTTTACTTGTTCATATAGTAAATATTGACTGGAAATCTACCATAACACTTCACTGAACTAGAGGTGATGAAGAGATTTTATTTTCCTCACAGTGGTTATGATCTAAAACATATATCTAAGTAGACACCTTGCAGTATTATGGAAGTGTTACAAATTGCTAATATGGGAATATAAAAGAAGAGAACAATTCCTTCAAGAAGAGAAAGAAACTATTAAAATAACCGTGTTCATGGAAATCTTAGAAGTTAAGTTCATCTTTTAAAAAATGGATTATATTTACATGGTAGCAAATGGGGCTTGACATGCCCATTGGTCATGGGATTGTGGATGGCTTATGCCATGGTTATAAACCCTATGCAGTGAGAGGAGCTGCTGTTCTCCTGGGGGTACACTGCATGCTTCTAGTCAAATCTCATCTCTCCACTCTCTAGCTGTGTGACATTGACCAGCCTCTTAAACATTAAGTTTTGACTTCCTACGTTGTAACATGGAGAAAATAGTACCATATATCCAATGGAGCAATTGTCAGAATAAATGTTGAAATATAAACATGACATTTTAAAATAATTGTGCTTCATTTATTAATGCTCTCTATGTGCTAGACAATTTTTAAACTCACTGTGATCAACATTGTAATATTTTACAAAATGTCTCACAATTCGAAAAGTTAAGAGCTTTGCCTAGGTTCACATGGCTAAATAATGGCATGGCCAATATTCATATCTGGATTTTAGATGCAAAAAAAAAAAATGATGCTGTTTCTCCATTATTACCAAGGAAGAATACAGTGGCATCAGACTCAAGGTGTTTCCATTTCCTACTAGAAACTTTCCTGCAAAAGACAGCTTAAGAGCTGAGCAGTTGGCTTCACAAGTGTGTTTTGTTTGCATTATGTGTCTATGTATATTTTCAACTGTGCTTGCAAACCTCAAAGTTTAACTTTCAAATAAGAAAGAGTATTGCAAGATTACTACTTGTTTGAAATCTTGACATGAAATCAGCCTTAAGAATTGCATGACACATTTAGACAGGGAAGGGTTTTAGAAGAAAAAAAAATGTATGTTAAATATGAAAAGGCAAATGGTAAATACATATTTTCTATATAAAGAACTTATCTATGTACACTTATAGTTATGCATGCCGGAAATATCTCTAAGTATGTAAGTATAATGTATGAAGAAAGATAGTAACCCAATAAAAAAGAAAGAAAATTATAAATCTCTTTTTTCTGTAATAGTAATAAAAATAATAAGAATTAAAAGTAGAACCCCTATGCCTATAAAACTATATCTTGAAAAATGGTTTTTGAAAATTTGAAGAAAAAGCCACTTTTAAACTTCATTTAATGAGTACTTTTTAAAAAAAATTGTCACAGTTATATATGACTGGAATATTTGTAAAGTCGCACAATCTTTAAAAAAAATGGACTTAGGATGCAGTTAATGATAACTCAAACTATGGTTATTTACCCTAAAATACTTCAAAACAATAAAGGTAAATCGTGAACATGTTTTCAATATTATTTATTTCAGTAAAATATTATCCTCCAAAAGAAAGAGAAACAAAGTATAAAATGAAGAATTCTGTTGCAGGGTAATGGCTGTATAAATAGGAAACATGAATTTGTCGAATTGTTAGATAACAGATGGCTTTAGATTTGAAAAACTTATTTAAAATATAAAAATACTGAGACACATTTAAGATAAATGCATACACTGTGTCATTAACTACATAGCATATACCTCCATAGATACCTACATTAAAAACACTCAATTTTAATATGTAAAATCAGGACATTTTTCCTGTAGTATGGTGATAGGTAGACACATTGTAGTCTAACTTACTAATATCACCACCAAAGTTTAATTTAAAACTGGAGCCAAAAGTGGCTACGTTTCCAAACAAGTTAACCTTGATCATTTTTCACTAGAGTTTTCCTGCTGTATCTCTTATACACTGTTGGTGTGCTTCATGAATGCTGATATTGCGGGAATGTGTTTCACTTCTCATGAGAATGTACTGTTAATAAATTACACAAGTGCAAAAAGGTTGCACAATCCTTTACCAGTGCCTTCACATTTCATGAGAGAAGTAGCTACATGAAATTACTTTTTCCTGCAAATTTAGTAACGGCATGGAAAGGCACGCTTGGAGGTCATGAACTGCTCAATGGCTTCTAAGAAACCTCATTCATATGCATACTGTAACATTTCTTAAAAATGATTATAGTTATGATAGCCAGGTGAAGAGCTGAAATAATCGGGTGATTCCTTTTCTCCCCCTGCCCCCAAAAATCTGGTGATTCTAATAATAAATAACTCTGATGTAAGGAGAGCCATTAAAGACACTTCTTTTTTGTTTAAATTGACTGCTTACAACCAGTGAAGAAAAGAGTATTTTATTTCCCAATGTGTAAAATAACTTTTTGAAATTTCTGTATTAATCAAATTTGAACTTTTCTTGAGATGTAAGCGAATGTAAGAAATACAGTCATGAGATGCTTGTCTCTTATAAGGGTCTGTGAAAAAGTGTGTATTAGAATTAAAATAAGTTTATGCTAGTGTAAAGAAGAATATATACACAGTATTTGCATAATACAAATAACAGTTTTTTATTATATACATTTTTATAATACATACCTTTTGTAGATATATGCAGTTTTTAATGATATATTGTGTATGTAGTGATCATCTTCTAAGTGTCAGGGACTCTGGTCACTGAAACAAGGAGATTTAGAACACGTGGATCTATTCTGAAAGAAGATAGACAATAGATGAGGCAAATGAAGAAACTAGATTTGGGGTTGACAGGTGGAAAACCAAGCCAGGATGGGAGAAAGCAAATGACTGATGGTCAAGACAGAGTGAACTTAAAAAAATTATAAATAGATATAAAAAATAAAAAAAGAAAGAGTGAATTTTTGGCTGGGATCTGAGTGGCATGGGAAGTTAAGGAGCATTGAGGCAAGGGAGAAACATGTTCTGGCTCCCTAGAGGAGGTGTATACCCGATAGAATGCTGCAAGAGAATGTCAGAGTGAAGGGAGAAGGCCAGTTAGACGATTAGACTACTAAGGCAATCAAGGGCAGAAAATTGATGTGACTTGGACAAAGTGATAACTGGGTAATGATGAGAAGGAGTTAGATTTTTCCATTAGGTTGAAAACAAGCTAATTGGGGCAAACATTGTACGTCCAGGCCCACATGGGATGCCTGCATCTGCTGTCAGAGTACTTGCACCTGTTCCAGCACCTCTGCTTTCAATCCAGCATCTCTGCTTTCAATCCAGCATCTCACTAAATGTTCTGCAACTCATGAGAGCTAAGGAACTTGAGTACTACTATGCACACGGAATCCCTAGTTTCTGGCTTCATCCTTGGCTTTGACTGTTGAAGCATTCGGGGAGTGAACCAGTGGATAGATGATTTTTCTCTTTCTCCTTGTTCTCTGTTGCCATACAACTTAGAAATTTAGTAAGAGGTATTACTTGGCAGGTACACAAATGGATTTGAATGTTGAGAAGTCTCTACAGAAGATTAAAATGGAAGGGTCGGTAGTCTTACAGAGATGTTAATCAGGGAAAGTAATTGGATCAGTGAGAGACTGGCTATAGACAGAGGAAAGAGGACAGACACAGAGCCCTGAAATACGCTGCAGTTGACCATCTGGGGAGAGGAAGACATGCCTGTGAAACTCTACTTCCTTCACTGCACTGTCTCCATCCAACATTAGTGTCTCTCTTTTAGACACAAGCATAAACATGAGTGGATTTCTGGAGAATAGCGAGGCTTTTCATTTTTAAATATGTGCTATTTATTGATCTCTCGTATCTGCTTCTAATTCAACTGCACCAGCAAAAACATTGCAGAACACCTATTGCGGATTGTAGACATCCTTGCATGCCTTGAAGTTTTTTTTTTTTTTTGATAACCTTGGCTACCTCCTACTTTTATACTACTATATCAGAAAGTTCCTTCGTTTCTAGTCTTTTTTTCCCTTTAGTCATATAATAAATATTTTTCTTCTTATGTTTGTATCTCTCATATTTTTTCCTGAAAAATAGTTTGTATTGTGTAATCTTTTTTCCTCCTATGCTAAAGTGCTGTGTTTTGGCATTGCGAAAAAAAATGGATTCTTTTAATTTCCTTCTGCTTTTAAATGCTCTTGGATTTCCCCTTAATTGTCTATTTCATTGCTACTGTTCAAGATGCCTGGCCAAGATAGATAAAAATAAGCTGAGTTCCAAAAATTGGGACAAAGTGAAAGGAATGAGTTCAGGAAGTCAGGAGTTGTCCTGTGGTCAGGCAAGGTTCATGTGGGTGAGAGTGTTCTGGAATAAAGCTCTGGATTATGGTTTCTGTACTTTGGTAGCTTCTATATCTTGTATGTGGAACTGTCATCTGAGTCATAACAAGCAGGTGGTAATTTGAAACGGTTGCTATGATATATTGTTACTATCCGTGGATGGTATGCTGACATCAAGAATCCTGGAAAAAGATGTTAGGTTGATGTGGAATATTCATCATTGTCTTTATCTGTATGTAAAAATTTGAGTTGTGTGGTCTGATGGATGTATTGACTTGATGAACATAAAAATGTAGTTCATATCATTGAAGCGTATGATATTCCCCGAAGAGTATGAATATTAGAAAAAAGAAAGTAATAACAGAAAACACCAGTAATCCTATGGTAAGTGTTATGATGAGGTTAATCTTTTTATTCTGAAAAAATATATGTATCTGCAAAATATTCCATGGAGTTCATGATGAACCAATTCCTTCTATTCATTGTTCCAGAAAGCAGAGAGCTCCTAATGATGTGCCAGGGTACATTACTCCAGAAGACAAAAATCTTCTAATGATGTTCCAGGATAGCCAGAGGGAAAAAAGATGTTTCTATTCATTTCTCCATTCAGTAGATTTTTAGTGTTCATCTCCTTGGTAGATCCTTTGCCTTTCTGCAATTGCATGTGAAAAGTCATCACATAGATTATGCAAAGTACAAATTAGGAAAAAATGCACAGATTTTAGAAATTTCAAAAAAAAAGTTTTAAAGTTTATTCTCATTTGCATGAAAAACAGAGGGAGCGAGGAAAGGAGAGAGAGAACGTGAGTCAGGAACACTGTCCTTGTCTACCACATAGGTGTCAAAGGGCCGAGAACTTGAACTGCCATCTTCTGCCTCCTGGGTTGCATTAGTAGGAAACTGGATTGGAAGAACAGTCCAGTAAAATGGCTAAAATGGCTTAAAACATTGTGCCACATGCCCTCCCCATAAACTTATCCTTAATTTTTTGAGCGAGCTCTTGGAAATACCCTAAAAGATGAAATATTTTCAGTTGGACAAACACTAGTCATTGGCTAAAGGATTTTCTTTCAAAATGTGTTGAGTTTTTCCCAAGGAAATCATTGTTTAAAAAATAATAATCAATAAAATATGTATTGTCATCTCTATAAGCAATGGAGGGAGAGTTCATATCTCAGAATTTTAAAAACCTTCATCTCTATGACAGGGTAAATGGAAGAAAAACAAAACATTTAACAGATGATACAGTGTGTTACTATCAGTGTTTACTACTAAAGCAAAGGTAATATATATATTTTTAAGTTTAACTTGTATAGAAAGTGGTTTCACAATTATGCTATGGGTTGAGGAATCAGATAAATGAAAGAAGAACGTGATGGGTAGGAGGCTCCCAGTAACAAGCTTGGCCAGGCTCTTTTGCTGAGTCATGCCGAGTTCCCACTTCTCTGATGCCGAGTCACTCTAAGGTCTTGTGTTGTGCATGCTTTCCTGCCTCCTAGCCTATTTTCCATCCTCAAATAATTTCCTACCCTCAAGGTTCTGCTTATTTTTCTGTCTTGATAAACTTAGATTTGTTTTATGTTCTTACCTGGAAGAACTTCCCAAGAGTTAACTGCTCTCTTTGATAATATGCCTTTGCCTCTGTACTTACATCTTGATGTCAGTGATGAATTGATGACAAAAGTTTTTAGTCTTACATATTTGTGCACAAGATCGCTCAAGATGAGAATATTCCATGTGTGTTGATCCTGACATCCTGCTTTCTTGTACCGCGTGTGATGTGATGGTTTGCTGTAATCATTGAGCCAAGTGGACAGAAAACTAACATGTATGCTGCTTTGCTGAGATCTGGCTAGATCACTGGGTTGTCATTCAAGATTGATCACTTTCTCTCATTTTAAAAACAAGAAAATGCTTATGTTTTGTTGCCAGAAGAATTCACATCGTCTTTAGTAAAGGACTGTAATATATATTACAGAGATTTAAACACAGCTGATGATTTGAGAGACATCAGCCCAAACAATATGAAGGGTCTGCTTTGTTGTGGAAGCTCACAGAGAGTATTTTTGCAACAACAAATGTTCAGTAAAGGAGTGTCCACAAACTGCTCAAGGCAGATGATGCTGACAGAGTGTCTAGTGTTTATTTTTCCGTCTACATTCTGCATTTGTGCTAAGCTGTGATTCTCAAAGAGCTTGACTCCTGGAAGGGCGAGAGAAGAGAGTTTGGGAGGGAAACTGAAGTGATATAGTGACCAAAAAACATTGATGTTTGGAAGCTGATAGTCAGGGCTGATCAATATCTCAAGCAATTTAGATCATTCTAAATAAGCCCAAGTTTCCCTAACCATTGCATTGACAAAGCCTCTGTGGAAACTGCAGTGGGATGAGGAAGCTGCCAATGGGGCCTGGCAGAATGAAAGCAAAGGCATAAGCAAGTGAGAAGCAGTGTAAAAAGAACCCTAAAAGCTGTCAAATAAATTACTGCAGAAAAGACAGTGAGAGGGAAAAGAGAAGGAAGGAAGACAGGCAGGCAGGTAGGTGGGACGGAAGACTGAATCTGAATCATGGACTGTGTCCGTTTGCTGAGAGTTTTTGTATCAGAGACAACTCATTGATCGTGTATCTTCCAAACATCCATCTCACTTCAGAAACTAAAGGAATGTAATGGATGAGATTGCAGTCTTACCGAAGACATTTCAGATGAGTCATTGTTTTTACAGTCAATGTCCCCGTGTTTCTTTTGTCTCTGGAGATGCAGTGTAGAGCAAAACCAGATAGATACAAGCTTTGCCCTTTAGTAGTACAACCTAGTTAGATTCAAACATTTTCACCTTTTTCATAAATATTTCTTGCTGGAAATCAGAGTAAGTAATCTGAGATGTTCCCATTGCATTTATGTGAAAATGGAGCGAAGATATCTCAAATGTGAAGACAAAGATCATAGTCAAAGAAGGGAAAACAGCATTCAGTCTAAAAAGAACTGATTTGTTGGGCCCGGCGCGGTAGCCTAGTGGCTAAAGTTCTCACCTTGCATGTGCCAAGATACCATATGGGCGCCAGTTTGTGTCCTGGATGCTCCACTTCCCATCTAGCATCCTGCTTGTGGCCTGGGAGAGCAGTCAAGGATGTCCCAAAGCCTTGGGACCATGCACCTGTGTGGGACACCTGGAAGAAGATCCTGGCTCTTGGCTTTGGAATGGCTCAGCTCTGGCTATTGTGGCCACGTAGGGACTGAACCAGTGGGTAAAATATCCTTTTCTCTGTAATTCTGACTTTTCGATAAAATAAATAAATAAATCTTAAACAACTGGGTTTTTTTGTTATATTTCTGATACATATGGGCACGTGCTTTTTGAGTCCATCTTGTACATATTGTTCAGAGTTAAAACTTTTATGACAGAGCTAAGCTTTCTTGTCTCAGGATTTTTCTTGTTTGTTTAATTTGTTTGTTTTCCTTTGCTTTCTTGTTGAAGAAAACGCGAATCCAAAGCTAATAATAGTACAAGGTAAAAGTGAAGAAGTAAAAAGGGAGTCTAGATTTGAATGATGCGGATTTGCTTCACACAATATTTTCTCAGTTTGTGTTCTTGTGCTTGAATAGGCATTTGAATTCTTGTATCTATTCCACCCTATCCCTTTCTCGCAAAGATCGATATGAATTTATGGAGAGAAGTACTTAGAAAGTATATGTGACGGAGGCTTGTTATTTCCAAGAATCCCCTTACTAAGTATAAAAAAGTATGGCATGGACAGGAGTCCTATCCTTATCCAACAATGGCTTTCCCCAAAATAGGTTATACGTTTATATATGAACGGTGGTCCCTCCTTTTCTGAACTGGATTTGAATGTGATATACTGGAGCTGCCAGTGCGCTTGGTTAAAACCGTTCTATATTAAGTCCATAAATCAGAGGAAACCAGAAGAATGACCAAAAGTTGTTGGAATTAAACTAACTGTATCAAAAAAATTAACAATGTTGTACAATTTCCTTTCTTTTAAAATGTGGTCTTCCAATCAACTATCCTTCAGGACTTGTAAGAATTGTCAATTCATAGGCCCTGTGCAATAGCCTACTTGCTAAAGTCCTTGGCTTACATGTGCCTGGTTCCTATATGGGTAGCAGTTCCTGTCCTGGCTGTACCACTTCCCAATCCAGCACCTCGTTTGTAGCCTGGGGAAGCAGCAGAAGATGACCCAAAGCCTTGGAACCCTGCATCCACACGGGAGTCATGGAGGAGGTTCTTGGCTTCTGGCCTGGAATCAGCTTTGCTCTGCCGTCGCAGCCACTTGGGTTGTTAATCAGCACATGGAAGATCTTTCTTTTTGTCCTTCTCTCTGTAAATCTGACTTTACAAGAAAAATAAAATAAATGTTTAAGGCAAACAAACAAAAAGAATTGTAAATACATGACTGCCAGCCCAACTATCAGAAAATGAGCGAGTGAGACCTGTCATTTTAAGTTCTCAAGTAAATCCAATACATATTAAGAGACATGGCCATAGACTGTGTCTCTAAATGTAAGACTATGCTGTACGAGGAACAGAGACTCACTTGTTTTGCCTCCACTGAGAAAAATTCTGAAAAAGGAAAAGAAAAATGAAGAAAGGAAGAGTAAGAAATAAAAATGAGAATTGAGAGAAAAACTTGCTTTAATCTCCTGATTAGACTTTTTTCAGAGTGGCAAACAGATGGTTTGCCAAGAAAAAACTGGTTCATAGACCTGTGTTAAACACACTCATTTCAGAACCTTTGACGAAATATAGTAGAAAATACCTTGATAAAAGAACAGAAAATTCCAAATGTTTGTAACCATTTATACTAAAAGAAATTACATGGATTTCTTTTCAGCCACACAGCCGTTGTCTGTCACTTGGACACATTTGTACATACAAAGATACATGAGGTGGTCTCAGATAAGTCTTTATAGGTGGAAATCAAAACTTAATTGTTAAGCTTCATTATTGGTACATATGAAGGACACACACCTTTAGCTCAATACTCCTTCCTTGATAACATTGAACTTTATAAATTGCCATTGAGACATTATGCAAAGAAACCCAACCATTTTGCCTGTAACTAATGCAGTTTCCTCGTGTTGACAGGAATATGGCGCGGTGGAACAGTTTCACTGACCAGCAGGAGGACATTGATAGCTATTCCGAATCTGTGAAGTTTGATGCTCGTGCCATGACAACCTTGCTTCCTCCAAGTAAGTAAAAGGGAGACCGGTGCTGTGGAGGTGCTTGCTCTTGGAGTTACTGTCAATGTGTAGGGTGACAATCTTAGACTTACATCAAGTGCATATGGACAGTAAAATAATATTTTGGGAGACACTTGGCACAGGGATTAGTACATCCTTTGGAGCACCCCCATCTTCTATCAGAGTATCTGAGTTTGAGTCTTAGGTTAAGGAGACATGAATGAGACCTTTTCTAAAGGCAAAGCTGGAATATTGGCCATGGCCATACAACCGCAATGGTGATCTTGTGTGCTGTACTTAGGATGAGTAAGAAGGTGAGCATCAATGCAACACATAGAATAAGATCATAATAAAATATGGAGGTGGTGGGGAGCAGGAGAAAGGCAACAGAAACTTCGGTGTCACTTGTAGGGATGTTAGCGCTTAGGTTTCAGGTTTAACATGGCAGGGGACATCTTATTTTTATAAACATGTGGTTGTTCTTTATCCTTAAATATTTTCTTTTTCTTCTTTATTCTTTAAGCAGTTTCTTTTATTTTTTTCTTTCAGTATTCTATAAAACATTACTTAAGGTCTAAAATTTGTAAATTTATAATATGAAGGTAAAATTACAAGGACAAAAATAAATTTTTATATTTTAATTATATAACTTTTGATTTTTGCTTAAAAGGGACAGACAGGCTGAGAGATGGAGAGAGAGGGAGAGATCATCTTTTGTCTGACCCACTCTCTGCCCAGCATAGCCAAGGTTAGGCTAGGTTTGAGTCAGATGCCAGGAACTCCGTCTGGGTCTCTCACGTCGGTGGCAACGATCCAAGTGCCTGAGACATCACCTGCTGCCTCCCAGGATCTACATTAGCAGAACAGCCAGAACTGGGAGGAGACTCAAGACTCAAATCCACGCACTCTGAAATAGGATGCATACGTCATCCTATATCATCATCACACCAAACTCTTGCACCAAGCATTTTTGTTGAGAGAAAAAGAATAAGACAGAGAGTTGTCATCTGATAATTCACTCTATAAATTGCCCATTGTAGCTGGTTCTTGTCACAACAGATAAATGGTATCTTAACTATTACCTTAGGAAATTATTAATAGGTGTTTAATTCACAGTCATAGAAAAGTTACGATTATCTAATAAGTTTCATTTCTACATCAATATACCTCTACTAAAATTAGCATTCTTTTGGAATTCCTACCATATAAGAATGTATAAAATTGAAAGATTGTTGTCATTAATATAGTCTAAAATATCTAGTGATTCGTCCCCAAGTTCAGGCAAGGTGTAAGTTGCTATTCTTCACCTGTTTGAGTCCTCTATATACATTTTATTTGGATGAAATTTCCAGATAGAAAACTATTGAAGTAGAGTTAAATTTTAAAAAACACATATTTCTGTGTAGTAGTCACATAAAATAAATATTTCTCTTGTCTGAATTCAAAGTAGGAATCAATTCATAGTTACAGTCATTCCTGTGTCCCCTGACAACAGAGAAATTGTGTTTGGCATTTTCATAATGGTACAAGCATTATAACGCCTATTTACACAAACCTAAATGGTAGGGAAATGGTAGGCTGTTGCAGGCATGACTTGGTACATTCTGGAAACTTAAAAATATATAGTATAGTAAGTGTGTCCTAAAATAATGATACAGTCTATAATACAACTAGAAAATAATAACCTGGTCATCTGTTATCATTACCTAATATTGTGTTCTGTACATAATTGTTTATGCTGTAGTTTAATACAGCTGGTAGTATAATCCATTTGTTTCCACAAGCATCACTGCAAACACAGTACACTGCATTGGGACAAGAGATGTATAACCTGTTACTAGGCAACAGGGATTTTGCAGCTCCATTGTAATCTTGTGAGCCACTGTCACATATGAGGTCCATCCTTTTCTGAAACATTGTTTGTAGTGCATGACTACAGTTGCTTGAGGAACTTCATCTTCATCTGGAACGTATTCTGATGTGAAAAACATAGAAAAGTGAAATTTTTGCTTGCATTTGTAAGGATCAATAGTAAAAATTACGAACTAATGTTCCAAAATGAGACAAGTACAACTTGTGGACCCTAGCAATGTTCTTGTAGATGTTTCCAGAGAAGATAAATAACTTAAATATCCATAGTAACATCTGCATTAGTTTTTCTTGTGATTGTCCTATTGCTTCCTATTGCATAAATGAAGACCTATTTAGGCCCCCTGTCTTATTCTTATACTGTATTTGGTGACCTGTTCATCAATGATGAGTACATTTGGCATAGCAGTTAAGATGCCTGCATCTCATATCAGAGGCGCTGGGTTCAGGGTTCTGCACTGCTCACAATTCCAGCTTCCTGTTAGCACACTGGAAGCAGCGGGATAAATTTCGCTCACTTGACTCATGTCACACAAGTTCAACATCCAGATGGAAGTTCCTCGTTTGTGGTGTTAGCTTGGTCTAATCTCAGCTGTTGTGGGTATTTGAGGAGCAAATCAATGAATCTCTGCAATCTGTCTCCTTTCTACTTTAAAAAAATCTATAGATAAATAATGATACCTTTATAAAAATTAATGAATTAAGAACAAACATCCTAATAGTAGGTTGTTCTTTCCTGCTTGTTTTCACAGATCCTAAAAATGGTCCTCCACTTCAAGAAAAACTGAAATCCTTCAAAGCTGCACTGATTGCCCTGTATCTCCTGGTGTTTGCGGTTCTCATCCCCGTCATCGCCATACTGGCAGGTACAGTGTTTGAGGGCTCTGAGTCTTGGCAACTCACTCGTGAATCACTTACTGTGACAGCACAAAGTATTCAGTGTTTTCTATATATGACCTCCATAAGAGAAGTTTCATGCCACACAATGTTTCTCAAATTTATTAAGTTAAAAAATCTGGAAAGTTAGTGATGCGTTTAAAAATAGGATAAATTTGAATAGAAAGGAATAAGAGGAATATAGACATGTGAAAGTAAAATGAAAAAGACTAGATAGTTTCAAATATATATTATACTCTAAAGTCCCATATACTCCTAGTGGTGGGCTACAAATTTCATAAGTATTTTAGTTGTCAGTGCAAAGACAAATACAAACAATTACATTAACAATAGCTATAATACAAAAAAACAAAAGAGAAGTCTTTTTCTGAAAAACCTACTCATAATACCGAGAGCGGAAAGATATATTTCCATAAGTCTTCAAAGGGAAGAGATCTTGAAAAATAATGGCCTGTATCTCATTAATATTCTTCTGGTTTATGCAGCCACATATTTCATAGGGCTATAATTTAAAACATCTTTAAAGTTAACTAGATAGGTTCCTGTCAAAGAAAAAAATATTAGAATATGTGGCTTGGTCTCAATGTGATAGTCTCCAGGTACACATTTCTTTTGAGAGCTTATTTAACTTCAACTGGGATAGATTGGAGTATTTCCAAGGATGACACATACCTCAAGCAAATATGTAAATATTTTCCTAGCATCATTTTTTTCTGAGTTTGATGAATTCTGATTGGCGTTTGAATTTATATGCCTTGTAGCGCTACTCTTCTCTTTGGCTTGTAAAATATCTGGCCATGTGCTGTTTTAAAAGTAGGCTGGGAATAAGTAACATTTTTATGTACATACTAATCATTTCAGCAAGAAAATGCTCCTGAGCACAGGGCCAACTTCCTCTCCCAGGAGCCATATAAAATTTGTTTTCAAGACAGAATGAACCCTTTACTAAGAAAGAAATGCTAATACAAACAACGCTTGTCCTAGTTGCTATCATCTTATGAGTATTTACTATGTTCAGACACTTGGCAATGAAATTTTCCCAGATTATTTTAATATAATTTTACAATCATCCTCTAAGTACATGGACTCATTATCCTTATTACCCACATATAAGTACTGAGTCTCTGTATTGGAGCTAGTGTTTTCAGTGTGACTTTGGAATCCTAATTCTGTACTCTACTGTCTTATGTTTAACTGGAATTTTGTAACAAAATATCATGAACCAGTAAAAATAACAGTTGCCAAAATTTAGATTAGAAAAATATTTCCCAGAGGTGAAAATTAGTTCATGTTCTAGCCATTAAAAACCACCAGAAACCTCACCGAATCACCATATTCACCAGAGCACACAAATATCTACAGCCATGAAAGAACATGATGTGTCTGGCATCAGCCAACCAGCCTCCTAACGAATGGAGGTGATCCCTATACCATCTATTTAGATGCTTGTCTGTTGTTAGAGATGAGGAGCTGAGCAGTACTTTTTGGGGTTGAGCTCCCTAACGAAGACTGTAATTATCTGGGAAAATTTCAGTGTTCTTCACAAACCATGGCCTGCAGAGTCAATCCCAAGGAATGTAGGCCCCACAAAGCCCAGGTAGGATGCAGATGGCAGGAAGCAAGAAATTCAAACTCTAACTCAAAAATCCCTGCGCTTTTAGAAAATACTATCAAGTCAAGATCTATAGTTAGATTGATAGTGAATAACCTGAAGTGGTTTATTTCTTAAAAGTAGAATAGAAACCTAGTAGGATTAAGGAGAAGCTGAAAATGGTTCGGTTTTCTAAGTTCACATCCGTATGAAACTTGGCACAATATGGAGCAGATCTCATGGGTTCCTATGTCTTAATAACATGATTTAGTAGCTCATCCCAACTTTAAGTTGTAGACCAGAATAATTCTGAAAAAGGTACCAAAATACAATACTTATCTTCATTTGTCATCATAAACATATGCATATAGTTAATATGTACTCCTAAAGTTTTAAAAGTTATTCATATTGGCAGGTATGCTGGATGAGTAAAGTAAAATATGATACATAAAAATTCTATTTAAAGTGTTTTATTAACTGAAACTTTTTAAAAATTTTAAGATTTAGTTGAATCATGGTTATTCTTTTTTTTTAAATTCATGTCATGTTTCCAAGATTATATGTGGTCAGCCTAATATGAATTTGACTAATATTTTTCAGACGAAAATATAAAAAGATGAAGAGATGTATGGATAACTGATAAAATCATATTCATCAGTGATTTGTGCTAACATGATGTCTGACAGTTTTTTTGTTGTTGTTGTGTATAATTATGTAATATTTTAACTTGGGAAGTTAAGGTTCACACCTTATATTTTTTGAAGCTTTAATACAGATTGTTCTGGATTATTTCAGAAGACTAGCTTACTTATAGGACACATGCCTCTTTGAAAATATGTATCAGCAGTTTAGTATATCCCCACAATTCCATTTGATAGAATTGTTTCCCTTGGGAAATAAATAATCATAAGCTTATTCATGAAAATGTTGACTGTATTACTGAAAATGAACAAATGAAATGTAGCAATTTTATTAGCTCAACCCATAAGATCTAAATTTAGAATACACTGTAGTGATTAAATTAGTTTTATACAAAAAATACAAAACAATATGAAAAAACATTTATGATATAGCAATAAATTAAAAAAATTAGTTGCCAGACTACATGTAAAGCATGATCGTTATTTTGTAATAATAATGTTCCATTAGAAAAAGAGGGCTGGGTTTGGCACCAAAATTTTAGAGTCTAATATGAGGTGATAAGATGCCTGGTGAATTAATTTCTTGTAGTTATTCATGTTATTTGAATTTCCTACTATGAATATATGTTTTCTGATCTATACAGTTTTAAAAGCTATTTTTGCATAGAAAACTTACTTTCCCAATTGCCTACTGTACTCACTGTGAGTTGGGCTTATATAAGCTGAAAACGTCATTTCCCTTAGCTGAATAAGGGACACAAATTGGCAGTTTTTCATATAGAAGATGACACTGCTACTGCTGCTTACCATCCATGTTTTTATCATCATAATCATGGCTTGGACATTTGACACAATTACTTTAGAATCTGTGTTAAGCCTTATCTCATTTTAACAATAGTTCTATGGAATAGGTTATAATACCTTTAATATTCTGAACTGCATTAAGCAGTTTTATTCTAAAAACAGTTGCATGAAATAGGTTAGAATACATTTCATATTCTATAAAATTTTTTCTAACTGGCAAATTCAGAAAGATTCATATAGGTAACTGTTCAAAAAGAATGACATAACCATGTAACAAACTCAAATATAAACTGAGACAGGTAAAGAATTTGCTTCTCCACGATATATTTAGTGTGATTCACACAGTGTGCATTTAAAATAAATACATGATTTAAGCTGGCATTTGAAATGTTGTAATAAAATGGGATAAAAAATGGGATGATAAAGAATAGAATGAACGATGCATTTATGGATATGAGCCATAACTTGTTTTATTTTTGCTTAAACATTCAGCTCAACTCCTGAGATGGGAAATGAAGAATTGCACAGTTGGTTCAATTAATGCAGATGGTATCTCTTCTACTCTCATGGGAAAAGGAAATGACAGTGAAGATGAAATGAAGTTTCAACAAATTGTTATGGAACACATTAACAACATGGAGAAAAGAATTCAATATATCTCAGATACTGAAGAAAATCTCATAGATTTAGAGCATTTTCAAAATTTCAGTGCGACAACTGATCAAAGGCTTAATGATGTTCTTTTCCAACTAAGTACCTTGGTTTCCTCAGTCCAGGGACATGGGAAGGCGATAGATGAAATCTCTAGTTCCTTAATAAATCTGAATATGACACTGCTTAATTTGCACCTCTACACAGAAACACTGAATGGCAAAATCCAAGAGATTGCACATGAAGAACAAGAGGTAAGAATGTTTGTACTGGAAAGTCAGAATTTAAACCGTTTAGATCCTTTCTATTTAGGTAGCACAATAGTGCCATGATCCATTTCAATATTGTCATATGTACTGTTGTTCCTCTGTAAGTCTTGCCAAAGGTATCAAATGGGTTTACCTAGTACCTCCTCTAGATTCCCAACAATGAATCAATATTTTTTCCATTTGCTAAAGACTCTCTTAACATGTTTTTACTTTGTAACTACTACTAAAGTACTTTCTTGGACTGTCTAAACCATTCATCACTCTGAGATTATCTTAACTGCAGAGGTAGGCATAGCTTCTTCATCATCAAAGGAAAGTGACCTCATTTACATGGATACCACACAAAATTTAAATTTTGAAATAGTCTGTTTTGCCTCTCCTAGAATTATAAATTTTATATGTACAGATAACTATATAGAAAGAATTGCATTTTGAATAATGTGTATTTCTCACTATGATAGGATCATTATAGAATAAAGCATCTTAGAATCAAAGAGATATTAAACTTCCTATCTTACTTCCTGCAAAGTAAGATATTATGTAAAGATTGAGGAAAAATAGCACTGAGGAAAGCACTACTGCTGTCAGGCTGAAGAATATAGAATGGGATATCCCCTTATATTATGGCCAAGAGAGTGACACAATAGTTGTCAACAAAATTTTCTGTGTAGTGAACAAGATGGAAATGTGGGCTGTTGTGAGCTTTCTGGCTCAACTATTCAAAGCTGTAACAGTAGTTTGAATGTAGCTATAGACAAAGGAGTCAGGGTGTGATACAATACTTCTTCACAAAATCAAATTCTGAGTTGAGTTTGGCCAATAGGATATAATTTCCTGCGTTCTCCTGACTTTCCTGTGGTTAAGACCTGGGTAACATTGTATTGATGAAAAGGAATTAGAAATAAATCATTAATTTTTTGAGTCACATTTTTGTTAAGCAGTTACATTTTTTTTTCTCACACAAATAAATAATTGGCTAAAATTTCAGTACCTATGTGGAAAAAAAAATCTTCATTTCACAAAATATCTAAGACCTAGGATCCTAAATCATGTTAAGATTATAAAAATGTAACATTTGCTATCTGATATAGGCATCACTGTACTATAGTTTTCTTGAATTCATTCTTTTTAAAATGAGATTATTTTCTATCAAGATAAACTATTACAAGTGATTTTTAAGAATTGACACCACATGTAAGACAAGGATAAATCCCTGATGTTGTAGCATCAGAGGAAGACTGACTAAATTATATACAGAAAGGTCTGAACAGGATAAGAAAGGATGTATCAATGACTTGAGTGATTCAATAACTCAAAATTGTGGAGTTTTTGCTTCATCTTTATCTTAAGGTATCTGAAGACAATGGCATTTTATAATTTAAATAAGGAGAGTCTGTTGGTGAAACGCAGCCCAAAACCAGCTTTCACATTCTGCTTCCATTCCACACCCCTGCTTCTAACATGAATACTGGAATCAGTAAATGTTGTTTGAAGAAAAGATTTTTATGTGATACCTGCATAATATTTACCAAGGAAAAGAGGATCTAAAAGAAAGATTGGGTGGAATTTACCTCTCCATTGTTTACAGAAAATTGAGATTACAAACTATCAAGCTCTTTTTCTAAATAGTAAATGGAGGGTGTGCCTAGGTATTATATAGCATTTTAAAAAAAGAAACTTATTTTACCTCCTCCCAATAAACTTGGACAATGTGGGCACCACGGGCAGTTTTGAAAGAATGGAATGAAAAGCCCATCTGAGCTGTAGGTATGAAAAATATGGATCATTCCAGGTCCTCAGGTTCTAAAATCCCTTGCTTGTCTCCTAATCATTGCACTGTCTTGCTTGAAACTACCTGACCTAACTGGAACAATCTGGAGCTCTCTAAATTAAGTCAAGTGGAGTTTTTTTAATTTATTGATGTCCCTCAAGCATCCATGTTCGCCATCTCATCTTTATTAGATATATAATGCTGTGCCTGAGGTGACAGTGAAGAAGGAAGGAAGTATGGTAGAAAAATGCTAATCTAGAGCAAAGATGTGTATGGACTTAGGCACAATTGAGAGGAGCCTCTGTGCCTGATTATAATGACTTCGAAGAGGTAAATCTAGATAAATTAGCGTGTTCACCATCTTGAAAGGCTTTGCAATCTCCTGTGTATGACTCTCTCACCACAGCATCTCCAGTCTGTTTCAAGACAGCATAACTTTGTTGTAAGCCCCACATTAAGGAATTATAGACCACTGGTTTGTATCCACATATAAATGGAAAACATGGGGGCATAAAGTATGTTACAATGACAGATAATGGGCTAAAAGCAAAGCAAAAAAATAAATAAATCAGAGACTTGATGGCTGGGTAATTTAACTTCAGTATAATTTGAAGAGTGAATTGTCATGATGATTTCTTATTCACTTGCTCATACTCCTCAAATTAAATATATTGATGTTACTCAGTATTTGGGTGCAAGGGGTAGGCTTGGGAGTGTAGAGAGTGATGGCCAAAATGGAAGCATATCATTGGAGGAAAGTGTGTTACTACTGACCAAACAAAACTGTAATTGATCAAATCCATTCCCAGAAAAGTACCCTATGAAAGCACAAGTATGAATACATGAGTTTATAAAAAGTGATGTTAATCACAAAATTATTTAAAATGGTAAAATTGTATGTACCTTAAATATCTGAATAGAAATCTGTAGATTATGTGAAAATAATAGATTTCTACTATAGTATTGAAAATGAGTTCATCTCTATTTAGTAGGTAAGTACACTTAATAAATTATTGAGTAAAAATTAAGAGCATTTTTCAGAATACAATAACAATGATTTCTTTCACATGTATATGTAGATGAAGATATATGTATTTATGTATATAAGCAAAATATTGTTAATTTAATATATTTTAACATTAAAATCTATGCATACTTTTCATTACCACTGAGAATCATATTAAATTTTATTGCTATGATTTTTCTAAGAAACTTACAAATCCACATATAATTCTGTTGTAAGTATACTATAAAGAAACTTTACTTCACATAAATTAAAAACCATGTAACAAGCTCTTATTTTTTTTTATAACTATGTATTTGGAAATAGAAACACACCTTAGATAAGCTCAACTGACTTGGGCAGGGTGCTTATAGATGCAAAAAGTTAGGCTTTTTAGTCCAAAGTGGAATGCTTTGTGTATGACTTGTTATTTTAAAATATTTCCAACTCCCATGTTCATATTCCATAAAATCTCTGTCGTGCTTATTTTTTTAATGCCTGCCTCTCCATGGTTGCTTAACTTACACTCTTGATAGTTTGGTTGTGGATGGTTACTTAATTTTCACAGGAAATCAGCAAATTAAAGGAGCGTGTGCACAATGCATCAGCAGAAATTATGTCTGTGAAACAAGAACAAGCTCGTTTGGAACAGGAAATAAAAGGAGAAGTGAAAGTACTAAATAACATCACTAATGATCTCAGACTGAAGGATTGGGAACATTCACAGACATTGAGAAATATCACTTTAATTCAAGGTAAAATGTCTTGGGTTTCAGAAAATGACCAATTAAAAATGTACTGATAAATTCAGGGATTTAGTATTTTGAATTCTGTAGTTTGCAATGAATAGATTTTGAGCTTAGTTTCACTACAAATACACAGAGAAAGACATTTCTTAGGATCAAATGTAGATGTGATAAGAATAGAACCCTTTGAATAGAGAAGATAAATCAAATTAAATCTCTTAAGGTCTAATGATTTCTCATTGACAATACCTTTAATGTCCCTCAAAATATAAATCTTCAATAAGTACTAAGTTCTCTGCATATCTTTGAATCCAACTTGTCAATTGTTTTTCAAGCTTCTGGAATCTTTCCCCTGCCTAACTAATAATTAGAGATCATTTTGAACTCTCCAAACTAACGATAGATCAATCAATTCTTCAGTTGCTTCTTCTGCATGGAGTATGTAGAACACATATTCTTTCCTTCACCTTAAGCAGGGATTTTAAGCTTCTTTTATATTTTAAAAGGAAGAAGTAAAGTTTGATGCAATGTAGAATAAGATGGAAACATTTTCAAACACAAACAGATGTTCTAAACATTCTGCAAAGCAGAGGAGGACATTTCAAGTCCTGTGATCCTTGTCAGCCACGTGAGAATCCTGCATTGAGGTCTCTGCTGCTACTTTTAGCCTGATCCCGTCCCAGCTGTGGTGAGAATCTCAGGATAGAAGAGCTTCTTTACGCTTATGTGACTGCTTTTCCAGCAAAATAAACATTAGAAGAGGCATTCTCAATTGCTATGGTTTGCTCAGGTAGAGATACCAAGGGGAACACACAGCTGTATTTGGTATGCTTGGATTAAGGGGTATTTGTTATACATTTTAAACAGAGTACCATGTAAATACCTGAAGAATTTTAAGAAGTCATATAAAGATTATCACATGGATAAGTATATTCCATCCATTTTTTCATTTCTTTTGACATCCTTCTTTATTTCTCTTCATTTCTCTTTATCAGATCCACCTAATTTTTCAAGCTACAGTGTTGGTTTAATCATTTATGATATCATCACTTTTCTGAATGGCATACTGCCCCTTTATCTTTGCATGTAATAATAAACAGTAATACTTTATTGTATTTTTATTATCAAAGAAACAACTTATAATAGAAAATATAAAATTCTAGAAAATCATAAGGAATAATAAAATGCAAGATTCCATCCTTCTGAAAGAGTACCCATTAAAATGTCTTGCTTCTGTATGTGCATGTGTCTGTATTTTGGCTCTATATGTTTTTTTATGTAATCATCCTACAAACTATATTGTTGGCCACTAAGCAATTAACCAGTGAACCATAAAGAAGTGATCATCATATTTCTGCTTTGCAGGACCTCAAATCAAATAAAGTCATTATTCATTCTCACATTCAGAGGCCATGTGGGGAAGTGCAATCACTCACCTTTCCCTGCAATCTCTTCATCTTATTTTACACTCTTTATGTTGATTTAGATCTCTACTTAGTACTTCATTTGGTAAGATGTTCTTGCATTCGCTCTGACGTGTTGCCTTTCTCTTTGACTCTCCCACATTCACAGATTTCTCTTACTCCTCATTCCACTTTCTCTTCAAAGAGCTTGCTTAAATTCTAGGTCCCCCAAGCATTCTTTTCAAGCCTTTGCCACCCACAAGAATCTTCACTTCCTTGTTAAATATCTGAGTTTCCAGTGAGTTTTTACAGCAAGAATTTACGTTGTTTCCAAAGTGTGAATTGTGTTGCTCTTATAATTCCCATAGACGTGCTTCCCACATGATGTGTACTCAACATATTATTTCATGTTGTGAACATGTAAATAATCCATACAACTTCAGGCTGTTTAATTTGGGACTTTCTTCTTGATTAGAGGACACTGCAGAGTCTTCCTCTGTTCAGGAAAGTCAGTCATAACCATTCTGTTTTACAGAAACAGAACTGCCTTGATAAATGAAAAATCAATTTTACCTGTACTTTACAGTTTTGATACATAATTGTGACTTTTTTTAAAGGCCCTCCTGGACCCCCAGGTGAGAAAGGAGACAGAGGCCCCATTGGACAGAGTGGCCCACCAGGCGTTCCAGGTCCAGTAGGTATGGTAATAGTGAATACTTCATCATCTGTCTTGAGGCTGTCTTGAGGATGTGAATACATCATCATGCAGTCATGTGGGGGAAGAGTGGCTTCTGTTTGCTTACTGTGGGGGTGTGTGTGTGCAGTGTGTTTTGGGGGAGATGTGAAGACTTTCATCAGCATAACCAGGAGCAACATAATATACCTACTGAGGAGCATTGATTTTTGGGCAGTTACATGTTAGTTGTAGTCACCAGATGGAACAGTTCTCCAGCCGATGTAGTATCACCTATGCATTAGATTGCAAATGCTATCTAGCAGAATAACTGTAAATCACACATGAAAAAGAACTGAAAATTATCTTCAGATAGGATAAATTTCAGAGTATCTTTTTTTAAGATACAAGAAATATAAACACATTTGAATCAAGGAAAAATGGATGAAGTTTCTTACGTAGTTCTTGACTGGAATATAGCTTAAACTCAAAAATTTTGAATGTAAATATTAGCTAGAGTAGACAAGATTTTATTATGGCTGTCAGAACCACTCTGTATTTTAGGCAGGAAATATGTTTCAAGTTATTTTCCTCTGTGTTGCAATCTTGAAAGCAATATGTTGAAAGAAGATATAGAACACAGAGAAAAGGATAGAGTACATGAACTTTTGTTGCTCTTAAAAAATGAGAAAGACAATAACAATAACATGATTGCCAGGTTACTCTTGGCTGGAAATCAAATACTCTCCTGCAGTTTGAAAGTGAGGAATGTATTCCATGGCCTAATTATAACTTAAGTTATCTGTGCTGTTCAAAAGAGTGTTTTCCACTCTTGATCAATGTATTGACTAGCCCAAGTTATATTAGAAAATCATAAATTTGACACCAGCCTGAACTTTACATCATCATGCTTAAGAAATAATGCATGAAGCTTTAATCGGTAAGCACTTTTTAAACTATTTTAAAAGATTTTCCATATGTTAGGTGGGTTGGTTTTTGGTATGCCTTTGAAAGTACCATCAGGAAGAAAATTTAATTCAGAAAATTCCTTCTGTTTACACTCAGCAGACCTTAACAATGATCCATTAATATAATAAGCAGAGGAAATAATCAGTATTAAATCAGTCCTCAGAACTACTATTGTCAAGGGTGTGTCAGCTCCTCCATTACAAACTGCAATTGTCAGAACTTTACAACTCAACTGTAACAGTTCTGTCTGGATTGCGACCTGCTACACAAAGCTTCATCTTGGGAGTATTTTTTGCAGCTCTTTCTGAACTGTGGATGTATGAAATAGAGGGATTTGAAGGTTTTCAAATATTGTTAATGCCGTGAGCAGATACAATTGCAAAGCTTCTTTGAGACTTTTAGTGAGGGTTAGTTTACTACTTGCTGATTTACACAAATACGCATTATCCAGTTTCATGAAAAAGAGATAGATGAAGTTGCTGGGGTGACAAACTGATCCGTTTAGGTTTTCAGGTTGCCATTGTGTTGATAAATGGCAACAAAAATGTTCAAACCAGCAAGCATCTGTCCTGATGGGTTCTTTTATTTTTGATTGCTGTATTGTTTAGCTCTCTGTCAGATTGCCTAATTGCTTCATACTTGGTCCTGAAATCAGGAAGTAAATACATGATAGATAATCACAGTGATTCTGTTGTGTTCTGAGCAAATTCATTGTCTTTATGTATATATCCAACTGAGCCCACTAAACTCAACTTGACCAAGAAAAACTCTCCTAGACTTGCAGCAAAATATGACTGAGAAAGCTTAGTGAGTCCTATCACTGTCTTAGATGATCACTGCATTAAGTACATCACAAGCATTGCTAATGTCCTATGGTGGGTATTGTTACATTATGCCATCTGAAAATACGATTATAGTGATTCCCTTTAGTGCGCTATTTCCTTGCAAGCATGACAGGGGAAAACTGCTTTTTGTTCAAAGGATTATGTATGAGCATTCTCTCCATGCCTATGTCCCGTATCCTGTGGAGAACCTGCAACGAAAATAGAATCACTGCTTTCACCAAGCTTACAGTATGATAAGTAATTATAGAGGGGAAGGGAATTCATGATAAAGTGTTCATCTTATCTGAAGGCCTTTGAGGGGAGTTTAGGATTATTACCCCTTGACAACAATGCTGCAAAAGGCACACCTCCTTAGTTTCTACAGAAACTATTTTATAGGACATCTAATGGACTTTTCCTTCCCAGGGGAGGTCAATTACAAGATAGCCTGACATGGAGGGTTACCTACCAAGATGCCTGGAGGTTCTTCTGGCTGCAAACTTTTCATCATGCACCAATTCTATTTACTGTTCTTACATAGCCTGAACTTTGCACCATAGGAATCATGCCTCCGGAAGAGAAAATCACAGCCACACATCTTAAATATGAATATTGGAAGACAGGAACCATATTTTATTCACTTTTACATACAACTTTTACATCTATCTACCCCATGCACCCAGACAGACTATGAGTAAGAACGTTGCTGCCTACACAGATTGTTGCTTTGCTGAAAGAAGAATTCTTTTGGAGAAAACAATCTGCTTCCTCTGTTCATAACAAAAGGCCGTTGCTAACTATGCCCATTTCATTAAGTATAGCAGACCTCACAAAATAGTGATGAAAACATTGAAGAAGAGAAGGAGTAAAGATTTGCAGAAAAGACAAGCTGGCACAAGTATTTGCTACACACTTCTAAGTGAGCTTAGAATTTTTCTAAGTGTTTTATATTATCTCTTTTAATTTCATCAAATATAGAATGTAGGGACAAAAGCTCTACTTGACAGATGCACTGGGAAGTTAAATGACTTGCTTAAGGTCAGTGTCTGGTAAAAGTCAGACTTACTATTTGAACCCAGATGGGCATGATTGCAGAGTCCTTGCGCTTAACCAGTCTTCCGGACCAGACAGAGAGGCTTGAATGGAGAGCTGGGAATCTAGGATATGCAACTGATTACCATACCAGTCTTAGAAAAGATAGCTGATCTCTCTTCCCTTCTGTCAGACCATTAGCAAATGATGGATTTGGGCTTGAATACTGTGAGAGCTCCTGAAACTTCGACTTTATGTGAGATCCTGGATCATGGTATTTATATTGCCTGAGTTAGGAGCAGGTGTCAGAAATTTTCACCTTGTCACAGATTGCCAAAAATCAGCCAAAGACAGAGAAACCTAGTCTCCTGGAACAAAATTCGTCAGAGGTGCCACTATTTAGGAGCCACACTTTCAAGCATGGTTCAATTCAGTTCTGTTTATATTCATACAAAAAATAAGTTAATGGCAGCTACAAAATTATGGCATTGACACTGCATTCATAGCCTCAATAGTTTTATAATACATGACTAGAATGCCTTATAGCTCAGTGGTTTTAGAAGTCAAGTACGAGTAGCAATAAGTAATTTGTAATTTTAAAGACTAGAACTGTTTTGTTATTAATAAAAAGTGAGGATGACAGCCGGAGTGCAAAAACATCCTTTGTGAGGTTATTAGTCTTAACTATGAGAAGTGGCTTCTGTGTCAGCCGTATTATATAAGGAAGAGTGGAACACTTTAGCTGGAGCTAAGTCCAGCTTTTATTGAATTCACTAAAATGTGAGTTCAGTGGTTGTCTTTTGAAGAAAAATATATGACTAAACTGACATTAAAAAAACTAACAGCAAAATATGATTTTTACAATAATTGGTTTGTGGTGTGAATAATAAGCAGATTGGCATCTGCTGATATTACATTAGGTATGTTGGAGCCTGAGTTCTCACCCACTTGTATGGAATGTATATCAGCATTTTAACAAGGCCACCACATCATTATAATTAATGCTTAAGTGTGGGAAATCCTACTTGACATTGACATAAAATCAGCTAAAATGGAAAGACATATGCCTTTTATGATCTTGCACTGGTAAATGTTGAACAACTGGCTGGCTGGAAAAAAAAAAAGCCTGCTTTTAGAAGTTGTCTATTTTTAAAAATTATAAGAACGATAAAATATATAATAAAAACAAAATTGTAAGCTATTGGGATATTAGTTCTTTTTATTTGATATTTCCACCAAATTATAAGCTTCTTGAGATCCCTGTTAGATTTTTTTCTCACACCATGTGCTTATACAATACCTTGATCACCATAAATGTTAAACATGTACTTTGAAATGTCTATGAATATAGACAGTTATGTACCATGCCCTTTTTGATTGGTACAACCACAGGAGTTTGGCCTTTGTAAAGGTGTAGTGAGACTATGTCTGTTTTGTTCTCAACACGGTGATAGTGATTGCAAGTTGCTGATTTCTACGTAAGTATTCTTGATGCTTCATTTGCTGATATATGTCCTTACTCATTGAAAATGCACCACAATTTGCCAATAAATCATTGTATTGGTTTCTATAAAGAGATTGGTACAGTATAGATTCACAGCATGTCTTTATCGAATTAATGAAGAAAGTATTTATAAAAATTTGTGAGGGACAAGAGAGTAAGGAAGACTTTTTTAAATGAGAGAATTTAAAAAGAAATTAAACAAATGAAATGGAAATTTCCTAATTTTGTTAATATTTTTATCAATTGATATTTCTAAACACACTTTCTTATTTTATTATTTGGTTTATTTGTTTAATTTCTATCGAAGTCAAAGGTTTGCCCCAGATTTAAAAATATTTCTTAATTATTTTGAATTAATAATATAAGTTGTTTACAAGAGCATCCTTCTTAAATTAAGCATTTCTTAGATGCTAGATAATCAATCCTAAATAGGTTTAAAAATGAGCCATAAGAAAATTTCAACCCCTCCCCTTTTTTTTCAAGTTAAACATATTAAAATGATGCCTTCTGAAACTTGTAAACTGAAAGCAATATTCTAAAAAGTTAATATTATGAAAATATATATTTAATTTCTTAGAATGTTCCTCTCCAGTCAACTAGAAATGTGATTAGTTGGATTTTTTTGGGCTGATAATGACATTTAAATTAAGATTAAAGCACTGAACACCAGATAAACTATTTTATTCCCTGTGAACATAAAATTTATTTTATATGTATTGTCTGTGGTCACTAGAGAGAGATTTTTTGCAGGACAAAAAAGAGAAGTGTTTTCCAGTTTACATATATGCATCTAAAACCAAAGACCTGTATATTCGCATATATGTATGTATATACAACTGTAATGTGTATATATGTGTGTATGAAAATGTTCATGTTTGTGTTATTTGCGTTGTTTGAGTTAGCTCCAACAAAATTCTACCATTTACACATTCCTGATTAACTACATAGCAAGCCCTCTGGTTACAATTTCAGTTTTGTTTCTTCTTATGTCTTTAATTTCAGCAGCAATTTTTAAAATTGGATACCTGCAGCATACTATATGATTAATATTTGTATTTTATTGTGTATATACTATCTTTTGGTGCAGCATGAAATTTTAGGAAAACAGTTCTATCTGGAGAGTCACTTATTACATTATCATTAATGAAATCACATTGCTTAATTTGGAACCTTAACATTTAAATTTCAATAAAAAATTTATTGGTGCTTGCATTGTTTTTCCCCATCAACCACTTAGGTCCCCCAGGCCTGAAAGGTGATCGAGGAGCGGTTGGCTTTCCTGGAAGTCGTGGGTATCCAGGACAGTCAGGGAAGACTGGGAGGACAGGTATTGTGACATCTGGTGCATTTGTTGTTGTATATGCAGAAGAAACAACCACCGGCAGGCTTTTAAAACTTCACGGACTATCAAAAAAATAAAAGATGATTATCTGGCTTAGTAATGAAGATGTTGGTCAGTTCGCTCACGCCCATTTAGATGTCTGGGTCTAGCAGCTGACTGTGGCTCTTGGCTTCCACCTCTGCAAACACAGACCTTGGCAGACAGCAGAGGCAACTCAAGCAAGTGAAGTGATTAGAAGCCTGCCACCTGCGACTGCATTCTGGCTTCCTCCCTTGTGCAGGCATGGGGAGAGAAGCAGTGGGCAGGAGTGCGTTTGCTCGCTCTTTCTCTCTCTCTTTGGATGTTTCTTTCATCTCTGTTTCTCTCTCTTTTTTATGTTTATCATTCTGCTTCTCTAATCTAAAGGAAGATATCATTTTTGAATAGCATCATTCATTTGTATAGTTTCTTTTTAAAAACTTTATAAAACTTTTTTAAAAAGAAAACTCAAAAACTTAAAAAATTTTAAAACTTAGATGTTTTAAAGATTATTCCTGCTTACTTGAGGAATTTCTTTGTCCCCAGGAAAATAGTTAATTTTTCTTTTTTACAAGAAGGTTTTACAAACTCTACACAATCATAATCACCATGAAAAACAGTATGTAGCTTAGAACAAAGACAGTGAAAGAATGGATAAGCAAACCGCACAAAATGTAAATACCCTTTTAACCACAACTGGGCAAATTATGCAAAGTTCCAGTTGTTTCAATATAGACAAGACTGAAATCCACTGCTTGTGTAAAATAAACTGCACTAATAATTAATAATGCTTAACAATCAACATCTTTCCACACTTTAACATATACTCTTGTAATGGTCATATCTTCACTGGTTTGTGCCAATGTCCTAAGTTCCAATTTTGAACTCTGAGCAGCAATTTCAGAAGGCGGTAGGTTTATTGTTTCAAATTGAAGTGCAAAGTGGATTATCACCAAAAGAATCAGATTCTTATTACAAAGTTATCTTAAATAGAATTTGTTTTTAGGATAGTTTAGGTCAATTGAAAAAAAAATACATAGTAATTATTCCCATATATATCACCAACCTACTGCTACCACCTTGCCTTAGTTTGTTTAATTTATATCAATAAATAAAGTGATATTGGTAGATTACTGTTCACTAACTACTTAGTTTATGTGCTTTTCAAAATCCATAATGGCTGGATCTCTAGTGTTGTGTATCCACCACAGTATTCTACAGAATAGCTTCACCAGACTAAACATTTTCCTTATCACCAAACTCTCCGGATAAATTCCTGGCAATCACTGATCTTTTTTGTTTTCTTCTTAGTTTTGTCTTCTGTAGAACTTCTTTTGGTTGGAATCAAATCGTGTGTAGTCTTTTCAGACTAGATTCTTTCACTTTGCAAATATATGTGTTTAAGGTTTCTCCCCATTTTTTACCCATAGCCTGATGGCTCAATAATGTTCCTTTCATATATTAAAAGACATTTGGTGTCTTTAAGTTTTACCGATTACAAATGAGGTTGCTGTAAGCCTTTGTAGGCAGGTGCAGGGCTTTTTCTTTTTTCTTTTTTTTCTTTTTTTTTTTCCCCACAGACAGGAAATTACCTAGGGATGAGATTACTGCAGCCCATGAAGAATCTGTTTTGCTTTGAAAGAAACTGTTCATCTTTCTTCCAAAGTGATTCTACGCTCTGCATTCTCACCAGCAGTAAATGAGAATTCCTATTGCTCCACATGCTGATGTTGCCATATTTGGAATTTTATCAGTTTTAACAAGGTTTATTATAGGATTATTGGCAATAAACATTCATGAGCAGCCAGTGGCAATAGGCTTGGGGACAAATCAGCTAGCCACAAATAACCAGTGTAGAATTAGTCTACTAGAGATGGGATGGGAGCATTGGGATCCCGAGCAATGGGATCCCGAGCAATGGGGTTTATGTGAGTCTCTATCTAATACAGCCGTGCTGACATCAGGCCCCTGGAGAGCAACGAATACAGAAGTGTTTGTTAATCTGTTTGAAGTTATCAACATCACCCAGGGATTTCTGAGCTTAGGCTGTTTGTGTTCAACAGATAAATAAAGCCTTACATTTAATAATCATGGCAAAATTAGTTATAGATTTCGAGGAAACTCAAAAATAATTGTTTTACGTCAGAAAAATAAGTTATGCGAACTCCGGGTTTAAAGCTAAAATGCTATAAATGATAATGGCCACTCAGGATCTCTGACAAATCATACAGGAGTTTGCTTCAGAGTCTTTGTGGTTCAGTCTCTGCGTAGCTCCTTATTAACATTATTACATAACAGAGTCATTGCTTACATTTGAGCTTTTCTGCTCACAAATATCAAATTGCTGTGTGGAAAGACTTCTGAGAACAATTCACGGTTTTTTTCCTCTTTTCTGACCTGATATGATGAAATCTTATTTATTATAGTAACTTCTCTGTATTAGAATTACAATGTTAGAATTTATTTTCATAACAGTGGTTGTCATTTTATTAAACCTTCAAAGTAAAGTTTCAATGAAAGATAACCTATACTTTTTAAGTGCCTCAAGTCTTGCTTGTGCTACTCATTATATGTTAGATTTTTAAAATTTGGTAAATTAGTACCCTGAAGAATTCTCTAAGAAGTATGTGAAGATGAAAGTTCAAAAGAAACTATAGATGAAAACAAGATACACTAGAGGAATTAATACTTAATGAATGTTATTACACATTTAGATTTTAAGATAACATTTAAAATAATTGTGATATAAAAGGTTTAAAAAAGGCTGTTTACGCACTGAGAATATTTCAGAGCAGTTTCCAGTAAAGTTTTAGGAAAGCAATTTTGGGATACTTTTGAAAGGGAAGTTTTGCACTTTGATAAGATGAAGCTTATTCCACAAAGTGCTTCAAGACTTGTCATAAGCATGCAAACTTAGTGGCAGAGAGAAATAATTCAAATCAGTTTTTACTTATTCTAAAATCTGTGTTTGAATTTGTATATTTGAAAGGCAGATGCTGTTTTCTCAGGTACATTAACAGGGAGCTGGATTGGAAGCAGAGCAGTCAGGACCTGATCTAGCACTCTGGTGTGGTGTGCTGATGGTATAGCCACCTGAACCTGCCATGCCACAGTTCCAATGCCAAAGCACTTGATTTTTAAGTTAAATTCCTCAAGCTCCTGGGTGAAATCCAGACACGCTTTCACCATGGGCCTATTCTTCCTTGCCCTGTATCTGAGGCCCTTAGAACCTTTGTATTCCCAGAAGTTCATTCACAGTCAATCTTGGAGATGCTCTGCCTAAAGCCATAGAAAATGAACATGGGGGTAGAAGAAGAAGTCTTAGAATGAGATGAGAGACACTGGGGCACCAGAGGAGGACACATAATCAAATGAGGAAGAGAAGAGACCAGTGCTGTGTTTCAGCATGTAATCCTGTCCACAGCATCGCGTATGGGCACATGTCTGTGTCCCAGCTTCTGCACTTCCCATCCAGCCCCTGGATTATGACCTGGGAAAGCAGTCTGAGGGTCTGGAAACCCAGAAGAAGCTACAGGCTCTAGATTTTGATTGACCTAGCTGTTAGCTGTTACAGTCATTTGGGTAGTGAACCAACAGTTGGAAAATTGACTCTATATATATCTCCCTCTTTGCTCTATAATTCTACCTTTCCAATAAAAACAAATAACTTTTTAAAAAGGAAGAGAAAAGAGAGTGTCTATCACAAAACATTCAGCTTGCATTTCAACTTTGCTTGTTTCAGGGAAATAGGCAAGTTTTTGCCCTTGTGAATAAATTGAGATAGCACATTAATCTCAATATTATTATACCATTATATTTGTCATTTATTATACATTGATATTTTAGATTTGTGTTCATGAAAGCAAACCTTTGTGCATTCCCCTGAATAAAAACAATTTTTTGCTTATTTTTATTTTTCTAAAGGAAATCCTGGACAAAAAGGCCAGAAGGGGGAAAAGGGCAGTGGAAGCGTCCAAAGTAAGTGTATCAATTATTATTTTGTGTGTGTGTGTATTTTTCTATGAACTAATATCATGTCAGTGGTGTCATTTTTGAGGCAAATATTAGGAATTTCAGCACAGATTCAAAGAGATTCTGTAGACACTAACCAGAGTTCTCTGTTGGTCATGTTTAATTTGGGTAAAATAAAATTATGCAACTCTTTCAACCTACCTAACCATTTGTATTGGTGTGCGTGTGCCGAGTACTATTTTCTAAAAACTACACCTAGAAGATTGTTCAATTTTCAAGTCAATTTCTAGCCACTGAAGGAAAATCAAGCTCATGAATAGAAACAATTACAGCCTCCTCACCTACTAACTGAGCTGACACCTTCCAGATGGGAATTCTGACAAACTACGAATCCTGAGAGATAGGTTCACAAATGTATAAAGTTTTGGGTTTCTACAACCTTAAAAGTGATGTTCCTTGGGCCTCAATGTTCAAAACTACAGCCAGTAGATTTTATAATGGGATAGTTGTCAATGGAATGCTGACTTCATGTTGTAACGCAAGGAATATATAAATTAGACCCTTTTGTATGTTTTCACCTAAACTGCTCCCACAAGATGAAGAGTTGGAAAGAGGAATGAGGTCTCTTCACTGGCCGGAGAATCAAAGGGCTCCTCCCTGCATCAGCATTAGCAGCCACCTGTGCTGCATGCCTGTAGGGAGTGGCTGATACAAACAATCACATTTTTATTCATTAAGAAATCTGTTTTAGAAGGGTCTTGACTTGTCTTCCAATAAACCAAAATCGCATAGATTTTAATTATAATTATTGCTTTGAAAAGTAAGGCACTGATTTTTATGGCTTGGAAAATTGTGTTTCTGGACACTACAGGTAGACAAGTTGGGGTTCCCGGCATGAATATTAGTGGTTGGAGTGTAATGTTACCATGGCACTTCCATGATGGAAGCATGGCAGACCATTGAAGATTCTGAGTGCTTTATTTGATCATTACTGTTATTGTTATATTGAAATACTTGAAGCACTTATCTCTACCTTAGCATCCATTGTTCATTTATGCATGAATATGGTCACTTCTGTCTTATGATTTTTGTCCTACTTCTTCCCTTTTCTCTTTTGTTTCAATCCGGCTTCTTTTTGAACTCTTCTTTGTAGGTTTCTCTTTATCTCTAGCTTTATTTTATCTTCTGTTCTTCCTTATCTCCTTTGCTCGAGGCTTCTCAGCATTGACTCTGATCTCAAGTTGGGCAGATAAGGAATGATCTTTTGTATTTCTTAGTTTATAAAGTGCTTATCCACACTGTCTTCTGCAACCTCAGGCTCTTGAAAAATTTTCAGCATCTTCTTTAGGTAGAATTAGAAAGTCTTTTAGTTATACCTTCGTATTTCTTTTTAATTTATGAACATAATTCCTTTGAGACAGGACTAACAGACGTGTTTCTTTGTGCAAGTGACCATGACCTCTGGATTCTTCTTGCAGAGTACACACCATTTTTCTAATGAGAGAGAGAATCCTACACATAGACTTAGGTGGCATGTTCTGTCTTCCCTCGTTTAAGTGAGTGTGCTTGTCGTCTGTCATTGTCATCACTTAGGGCTCCTCCTCTTTCCCTTCAGTGAGTGAACATTACCCCAACACACAAGAAAACTTCAAAAGGTTCAGAAAAAATTACCAAACAAGTTGATTTTGATGAAAAGCTGTTGAAATTCATACATAGTTTATTGCTTAATATTTTAACTCACTTGTTTAATATGAAGTTAACTACCCCTCTCCTTCCTTTTTTATTTGTGTTTCAACTTATACCGTGGCATACATTCAGTTACTCTGCAGTCAGGCTTCACACTCAGTTAGGTAAAGAATTCCAGAGCTAGAAAGTAGAAAAAAACAAACACAAAGCACCATACTTTTTCTCAAGAATAAAGACTGTAAACAATAATCTAATCTCAAAATGCCAGACTCATACATACTCAGATGAGGGGAAAACCTATATTTGTCCTTTTAGGACTACTTCTTGAAATAAATCAAGTTTTAGTTTTTCATGATACATATTTTTTGTGAATTTTTCAAGACTGCATGGATTTTAAAATTGTTTGAATTAAGCCATCTTTTAATTCTAATTTGCTCAAGTTTTTTAAGATACCTTCATATAGGTGTATCAAAATCATCATAATGCAGTAATTGAGTTTCCTAGTCCTGAACTCTTAATAATTTATGTTTCTTTTGTTTTGGCTTAAATAAATAATACTACCTTCAACATCCTCATGTGATATTGTGGAAATCTTAATAGCGAATTTTCCAGAAGTAGAATAACTGATTCAAAGGTTATACGCATTTTACAATTTGATCAATTCTTGCAAATGGTTCCAGAAGGTAATACCAACTTACTCCATAGGAAATTGATTCCTAACATCTTTAATTCTGGTACAAAAAGTCTTTATATTGAATTATTTTGGCATAATTAAAAATTTTTTTTTCAGACACAATTTAAATACAACAAAATAATCGTTGATTTCCTCTTTTACGTATGTGTTAGGACCAAGTTCAACAGGCTGATCGAATTAGGGCAGGACCCTTTTAAGATCAGATGGCTTGGGCAGGACACCTGCTGCATCTCATTAAAAGACCTATCAACTCTGGACAAGTCATCAGCACAACTGAATTCCAAGATATTCCTTGTGACTCCAAACAACCTTGATGCCTGTGTCCAGCCTGCTTCCACACGACCTCCTCTCCTGGTCCTTGGTGCTGCTTGGACCTCTGCTGCCATGTTCACACCACTTCACGCTCTAGGTCCCCACCCTGGTTACTCTATTCTAGCTGGGATGAGTCCCATGCACTGACAGGTAGGCCCTCCAACCAGCCCTGTGATATGTTGCTGATACTGGGGGCTCTCCATACCCACTCACCTAGATTTTTCCTGAACCTAAAATTTAATAGATTGGGTTCTATGAGAAACCTCTTATATGCTGATTATATGTGGTCTCTTTACGTTTGATACATTATTCTCAAGCAGGTATAAGGAAGACATAAAATAAAATGCATCTATGAAATCATTCATGCACTCATTATTTTAGTATATGTCCTTTACTTGTGGAGCTGAGCATAACAGCTGGGAAGGTAGATATGTCTTCTGGACTTAGAGCCAGTTGTCTCTGGGAGACATGGCCAAATCAACAGGAAACTATGACATGTCCAGGTTAATACTGGGCATAGACCAGGCATGTAATGGTTTTAAAAAAGTTAATGACTTTTTGTTCCTTATAATGTTTTTCAAACATTTGATTTTTGACTATTTACCTTCCTGTCTTGACAGTCCCCAAATTACAGCGCATTCTTTCCCCAAGTTTTAAAGTGAAGTAAAGTGGCTCTTGGATAATGTACTCAACATAAAACTTTCCTTTTATTTTCTGCCACTTTCCCCCAAAATAATTTGATCAAGAAAAAGCAGTGCTGACAATTTTTTTTTCCTAAACACCATTCCATATTTTATGGTTTAAGTGACCAGCATAGATCCTGGAGGAAAAGGAATATTTCTAGGGAGCTGGAAATACTCTGTGTAGGTTTAAAAAAGTGAAGAAAATGAGGCTGGAAAAAAGTCAGGAAAAGTTAGACAAAAATGGCATAAGAAAAATGTAAGATGCCATGTCATTTTTCAGTGTCTGTGGGTTGATTCGCAGAAGCCATTTTGACAAGTGCCCTTTCCATCACATCACTGCCGGGTCACACCATTCAGATTCTAGCAGAGTTCTGAGCAGTGTACCCATGCCCAGCTCACCATTTCCATTCCCTGCCTTGCATTAAAAAAGCAGGGAGGGGGCGAGGATGTTGTAACACCTACCTCACAGGGTTGTTGTGGGGATCAAATAAGATGTGTGTGAGAAGAGACTCTGTAAAATCATAAAATGCTTTAATTAGAGTTGGGGTGGGAGGCATCTTATTCAGTTGCCGTTAACAAGTTTGTGAATCTTGGTGCTGGGTGACATGCCTTAGAAGCCGTGGAGAAGCTGGTGGGAGGGTTAATCTGGAGAGCTCAGTGATTTGGGGTTCTGGAAGCTGAAGGCTGCTTGGCAACACGTGGGGCCGCTGGGGGCACTCTGACCGGGGTCCTTTCGGGGTTCTGGACCCCGTGCACAGGATGGAGCTCCAGGACTTCCTACACCACTTCAACACCGTCCAGATATGCTCGCTGAGCCCAGACGTGCTGGGCCCCAGCCCTGCAGGAGGCGCCTGGCACATCAACACCTTCCAAGGCCGCTGGGTGCGCGGCTTCAACTCGGGCGGGAGCGCTTCCCTGAACTGGAACTGCTATTCCTCTCTCATGTAATACAGAGGTGCAGATGTTTTAAATCTGTAATCAGAATAAGAGTTAAAGAAGATGAAAATGCAAGAAGCCAAAGAAATATCATGGAGGAAACGAGAGATGCTAGAGAATGAGATTTTATGTTAGATAGAACTACACAACTGTGACCAGATCGCAAATCAATGAGTTTGTCTGAGCCTAGTGGAAGAGCGCTAGTTATAAATAAAAGGAACGACTAAACAGAGAGCACGCCAGAGGCCAGAAGCTGTCAACAGAGGTCAGAACAAAATGTCAGGCTAATAAAACAGGAATCCAAAAACTCCAAAGGACAAAACACAGCCCAAGATGGTGTGGATGAGAAAGTTCCAAGAAGAGCTGAAACAAATTGGAGTTGTCAGTGGTGCCCTCTGACTCTGTACCTGCATGACACCCAGATCTGCAAAGAAAAATAATGAGAAAAATAATGAGGAAGGAGGAGAGAATCTGCCAGTCATCTGGTCTTCAAAACTGGCCACCTAGCGACTGTGAACAGCCAGCTAATGGGAACAGGTAGAGAAGTGGGACCTGTTTGAGCCTGGTTGAAGTTGATGTGACTTGCTGTTTCACCCTGCACTCACGACAGGTGGAGGGCAGTGAATTTTTCTGTTAGCAAGCCTCGGGTCACACTGGATATCTTGGGGCAATTCCAAGGATTCAGTTCCGAAGTCATCTGATATCCCAGACTATCGACTGTTAGGTGTATAATACTAGTTCTGATTTTTCAAAGCAGGCAACACAGACTTTGCTTTGTCTCTTTAAACAAAATAGTGTATAGCCAGTTCAAATGCACAAAATATGCCAGTTACAGTACTATAAAATGAAAAGATGCATGCACCAAACTTAGTGGTTGTTACAGTGGGTTGTCTGCTGTGTTCTTATCTGAACTTGGAAGGGTAAGCATTTCATTCATGCAATAAATAAATACATAATCCTGCTATACAATTAAATGGTTTGTGAGGATTTGTCCTAAATATTTCAGTTACTGCTGGTTTGTTAGTATGTATATTTTTCTTATGCCCAATAAAAGTCTAACTAGGATGCAAATTTTGAGTATCCTATTTTGAAATGCATACAATGATAAGAAAAATTCACTAATCTTTGGTCTGAGTTCTACCAAAGATGTGGCTCAGTCATGGATGAATTCTGGTCACTCTCAAAGCATTCAGTTAGGTAAAGTAAAATCTCCTCTGATGACTGTACAGTTGATAATCAGTGCAAGGTACTTTTGATATATGATCATCTATAATCCTCTGAAGAGCCCTTAGGATGATTATTGGTTTTATCCCCATTATGTAGATTAGAAACTGATGCCTATGGTCACATAAGAGAGAAGGAACACAAATCCAATACCTGTGATTCCAGTTAATTCCTATACAACTTTTACGGATTGTTTTATTTATAAATTTTATAAGATTGTGTGTGTGAGAGAGAGAGAGAAGGAAGAAGAAAAAGCAGTGATTTGTTGAGTTCTCGTGAGTAGATTTCCAAAAGATTTCTAATACATTGAAAATCTTAAAAATTTGTGTAGTAGGTCAAGTTCCAAAAAGAGTTCTTTGTTAATTTTTATTTGTTTATGTTTCTACCTTCACAACTACTCCAGCTGTTGCCTGCAGTCTTCTTACCAAGTTTGTTGCCCAGAAATGTGGTCTTCCTGTGGTGCTTCCATCACCACGAATAGGAATTACTTACGTGCACCGGGGGAAAAGATCCTTGTTAGTGGTCTGTCTTCCTAAATAACGGCTCAGTTTTAGCATTTTTCAGTATCCTTTGTCTGCTTTGATGTCTTTCTTATTTTACTGTTTCTCTTTATTAACTCTACAATGTGATTTTCTCAGTTGCATAAGCTACAAGTGAACAAAACACATTGTACTTGAGCAGTGATAGCTGTGCATAAATGCTGACTCTTGATAGTGGGGTGGCTAAAGCTTTCTGTAATAAATTGTTACTAAATATGCACAGCATTTCATTAACACCTTAGATGCATTTCTGAATATGTCTTATCAAGTGAAACAGATTTAAATTGATAATGGACCCAGGGGTTAGTAGTTGTCCTGTTAAGTGCCCATCCCAGCAGCCCAACTCTCCCCAGAACCAATTAGAAGGGAAAAAAAAAATCAATACAGTTCCAGCCAGGTCTTTTGTACTAACAAAAACTGCAGTTCACTGGGTATGTGCAGAGATGCAGATGTACAAAGATCCAACACACAGCTTCCCTTTTCTCTGCAAGCTCTGAGGACTGGCTGGCCTTGGTTCTTTTCGGCTTCCCAGTCTGCAGTATGGAATCTAGCCTTTACATAAACACACTGTCTTTTATATTGCTCAGATTTAAGTGTTTCCCAAGGATAGCTTGTTGTTTGAATCCCGCAGAATGGCAACCTTTGGGAAGGTACAGACCTTACAGAGTGAATCTCCTCTTCCAATTCCATGGAACAATGTGGGTAACTTGCTGGCACAAGACATGTCCAAGAAACCATGCCTTCCCCCAGCTCCCACTGTGGCTGCACCTGCTGACTCCTCCTTCCTTGAGATACTGCTGTCATTCCCACTTCTGGCCTTCCCTCAGGGCTTCTTCACATGCTGCTCAATACGCTTCAGAGTGGAATTCCAAGGCCTTGATATTCTGGGGAGCTATTGAAAGGAATGACGATGTGAGTTCTTTTTATAAAATGACCCTAATTCCTAACAGTAGTTTTTGTCATTCTGCCATTCCATTTCTTAGGAATGCTGAGAGGCAGACAAACCCCTTAACTGAAAACAGATATTCAGTTTCTTGACACATTTTTATTAAAAATCCACATGGCTTACAGCATACTTGATTGGTTCCTTGACATGTGATTATCTCTGGCTAGTCTAACGTCACCATCTTTGTAGAACTGGGATGCAGATGTTTCAGATTGAGATCAACTTTCTTTGTTGTCCTTCCAGTTCTTAAAGATGGCCTAAAATTGAGGTATTCTCTCGCTTTTACAGTTATAAAAACATGTTAGCTTTGTTTCTTACCAATATGCTATTTTCACATTAGATTGTCTTTTCATTAGGATGTTTCATGATTAGATGAAATGATCAAGATAAAACTATTTGAGAAGACAATACTTAATGAGATTAATGATTGATAGGATGACCTAGGTACTCACTTGGATATTCCTTGTCAAATGAACACCACTGATATATGCAGTTCTGTAAAAATTTAACAGCGAAATGGAATTAGATACCTTTGGGGGGTCTTTTGGCTTTATGGTTAATAAGCCTCTGGAGATACTAGAACCTTGCATCAAAGCGACTAGGATTGAATCCCCCCTCCACTTCCAGTTCCAACTTCCTGCTAACGTGTGGCCTCTAAAGAGGCAGATTAAGGGCAAGTAGTTTAGTACCTGCCACTCAGGAGATGCCAACTGTGTTCTTGACTAACCCTAGCTGTGGTGGTTGATTTGGTAAGTAAACCAGCAGATGGCATATCTCTCTCTATTTCTGTGCCTTTCAAATAAATAGAAGTAAATATATAAGATAGAAATTTCAAAAATAAAACAAATATTTTAATTCATGCATAGATTTTAAAAAGGAATACTCATTTTACATGAACTCTGAGGACTTCTTTAAAAGGGACTCTAAAAATTTTTGATGACCAAGTCGGATTATTCTTTTTACATTTATTTTATTTTTGTTGAAAAGTCAGCTATACAGAGAGGAGGAAGAGAGACAGAGAGGAAGATCTTCCATCCAATGATTCACTCCCCAAGTGGCCACAACAGCTGGAGAAGCACCTATCTGATGCCAGGAGCCAGGGACTTTTCCAGGTCTCCCATGAGGGTACAGGGTCCCAAGGCTTCTGGCCATTCTCTACTGCTTTTCTAGGCCACAAGCAGGGAGCTGGATGGGAAGCATGGTTTCCAGAATTAGAACCGGCACCCATATAGGATTCTGCTATGTGCTAGGCTACTGTGCCAGACTCAAGATTATTTTAAATTATATTTTTTACACACTTTTTGAAATATTCTTGTGTTTGTAAGAACCTTTTAAGTGGAATGTAACTGAAGCTTACTTATTCATAGGATGAATTGCATTACATAATTAAGAAGCATGGAAGATGATTTTTGCTTCAGGCATGGCATGATCTGGGAATTCAAATTAAGTATTTGACTCTCTCTCTGTTTCTCTTCATTTCTTACTTTCTCTTGAACATATGTTCCAATAATCATCAGGTTGACCTGTGTAGGCTATATTAACCAGAAAGGAAGTCACTTTCTTTTCTATAAAACAATTTTTTTTCTCTCTGTTGATCTTTGAATTTCCCCCTGCCTAACAGCCAGGTCTAGTGAAGGGTTTTAAATTGTCGAATAAATGCTATAAGCACCCAATTGTGGTAAAACAGATTCTCTCATAGTTCAAGTTGCACAACATAGAAAGATTAAGCCAACCTTTCTGAATTGTTTTATAATTTTTAGAAATATTTAAAAAATGATTTCTAGGCAACAGTGTATAAGCAGTGAATCAATCTTCCTGCAGTATGAGGTTATATTATGAAAATTTAATAACCAGTGATATAGGGGTCTGGCACAATGGCTCAACTGGCTA